CCGCCACTGGAAGTCGCGGGAGCCGGCGGCCAGGAGGACGTTGTGGGGGTGCCAGTCGAGGCTGAGCACCGTCGAGCGGATGGGCTTCTTGATGTGCTTGCAAACCCACCTGCATGGAGAGCGGTTGGCGTTCCGGGGGAGCCTCACCAACCCCAGGAACCCCACTAGGCTTTGAGAGGGACTGGCTGAGGGTGGTCAGGGCTCCAAGCACCCCAGGAGCTGCCCTGGGCCACCATCCTGCAGTAGCACCTTGGGAATGGGGAGCACCTCCCTCCATCTCCTCATGTCTCCACCTCCTCCTCCATCTCCTCTCTGTCTCCTCCATCTCCTGTCTCACTTCCAACTCCTCCGGTCTCCTGTCTCTCAATCCATGTCCCTTCCACCTCTCATCCACCCACCGACCCATCCATCCATCCATCCATCCATCCATCCATCCATCCATCCATCCATCCCTCCATCTCTTCTCCATCTCCCCATCCATCCATCTTCCCCAGGACAGACCCAGCGAGGCCATGGCAGAGCCTCACCAGTCATTCTCCTGCTCAAAGTAGCAGATTGAGATGAGCCGGGAGCCACTGCCTACGGCAAACTTGTTCTCCTTGGGCGACCACTTGACACAGCGGGCAGCCCGGTTGATCCGCAGGATGACCAGGGTGGGTTTCCAGACATTGCCCTTCAGGGTCCAGACGTAGGCGTTGCGGTCAGTCCCGCATGTCACCAGCCGGTTGCTCTCAGGGGCCCAGTCAATGCCTGGAAGGCAGAGGGGGGTGATGGTGGCCCAGGGAGCCATGGGGATGGGGACGGGTCACTCAGGGCTGGAGGCCATCTGAAGGCAGAGCTGTTCTGGGTGGTCTCTGCTCCAGAGTCCCTCTTTGCCCTACTCCCATATCCATCCCAAATCATCCCATCCCATCCCTTCCCATCCCTCTCACCCCAAAGTGTTCCATCCCCACCCATCCCACCTCATCTCTCCCATCCACCCATCTTATCCCATCTCATCTCTTCCCATCCTATGTCTCCCACCCCATCCCATCCCATTCCATCCCATCCCACCCCAACTCACTCCATCTTCTCCATCTATCCATCCCTCCCTTCCACCCAACCCCAACCCATTCCATCCGTCTCATCCCACCTCATCCCTCCTCACTCCATCTCTCTCCACTTCTCCCATTCCATCCATACCACCCCTGGGTGCTTTCTGACATGCTAGATCGAGGCCAAGAGAGGTAAACACAAACTGCTCCTTCTCCTCCACCTGCTCCTCAACCCTCATCCAGAAGCTGCTGGTGCCACCAGGTGGAGCTGGGACCATCTCCAGGGCAGTGCCACCCCCCATCCTTGTCCCCATCCCCTCTGTCAGTCCCAACTCACCCGTCACCTGCCCGTTGTGCTCCTTCAGCTCATGGACTTTGCTCCATTTGGCCCCATCCTTGCGGTAGATGTGGACCTCGTGGTTGTTGGGGCAGATGGCGATCTCTGTGGGGTGAGAGCAGCCAAGGCAAAGCCCTCTCCTGGGCGATGGGCTCTGCCAGCATCTACCTGCCCCTTCCTGTGCTCCAGGCTCGGTGGGACCCCATCTGCATGGTGGGGTTGCACCAAGCTCCCCCAGCCCCACACTGCCCCAAAGCAGGTCCTGCTCCTGCAAACTGTCCCTATGGGGAAGGGAGAAGGTCTGCCAGACCCAACAGCCAAGTGTCCTCCCTTCTCCAGCATGCAGTCCTGTGGGGCTGATGGGATGGGATGGGATGGGATGGGA